AATTGCTAAACTGCCATCGGGTCTACTCGACCTTGTGGGGGGAGGGGGGGAGTGGTCCACCAGCTAGGCCGAACCAGGAACCCGTCCTAAAACAGGTTATAGGGTACGTTAAGAAGACCCTTCTGGACGGCCATGCTAAGGGACAACTCAGACAATGGATGATGGATTACCGAAATTGTACTAATCTTCGCGATTGGAAATTATGAACAGAAACAGAGGTTTGAAAGTGTCAATACTTCAAACTGTTGTGGCTGGATATTGAATAAATCAGAGAAAAGTAACAACACGTTTGTGCAGCGCAACACGACTGGTCTGCTTGCAGGAGTTACCGTTTTAAAAGACATGCGCAAACATCCTACAGGATGTCTTACCTTTAAATAAAGGTGATTCTATGCATCAAATTTGTAATTTTGGTGTTGGAACGGTGCGTCTTGATGTTTTATGATGCTGTACTTTACTAATGGCACATCCGTCATATGCGAACCATCATATTATCACCTTGCGGTGTAATAAAAAAAAAAGTAAATGAAGTCATTTACTCCATCCCTTTGTTCTTTTATCTTTTGAACAATTTCTCTGATGTAGGATCATTACAAAACACTGTTTCCCATAATCGTGTTTAATAGATATCAACGAGTCATATATTTGAACTGCTTGACSTGCCACAATCAAAGTAACGAATTCTAGAAAACAGGCGTTGGACAGAAGGCCAAGCCTAAAACAAGCGTTACGAGCTACGGGCAACCTGTACACTCAATTGCTTTAAGAGCATGCCATACCGCCTAAAATTAGAAAACACTTTGTTTCCTAGAATCATCACGCTACAGACATCAAATAATTGGCGCTAAAATTATAACAGATTTAAAATTATAAACATATGTAAAATTATAACAGATTTTCATGTTTTAACCAATGGGATGGATGGATTAAACAAAGCACAGTTAGCACCTTCTTTCAATCCTTTGCAGTTTGCTTCCCTATTCCTTACTCGTGGCATTACTTAAATGCCATTATAAGACCGAAATAAAACATCGGTTGCTTGTGTAAACGTACCATAGATGTTTTTAAACGTACAATACATGTTTTAAAAGAGGTGTCATTGTAACCGTAACAATAGACATCGCTTGCTAACATAGCCGTACAATTCTTCGTTTTCACGTATGTCATAGAAAAGTAAATTTGGCGTAAAATTAGTCATAAGCAAAATTCAAATAATCCATACGAAAGAGCGCGTAAAACTCTGTATTTCTGAGAGTTTCTTCGCCGAAAGGAGTTTTCTTTACCAAGATAGAAGCCATTTTTACGTTTTTACGTACGCTATTTTTTTAGAAGGAAWTGTATGGCAAGGTCATATGTTTATGCATGGCTCCACGGCACCAACATTTTTAGAGAGTTTTAAAATCAAAGATAAAATTGCGGTACTTTCACATAATAGACGTATTAAAATTGTGTAATTCTGTGAACTTTTCAGAATCGAACCGAGCTTTTGTTGCAAGTTCATAAGCAATTTTATATGCCGATCTGTGCAGAGAAATCTATGGCGGCACCGTACCAGTGCCGGACCTCTGCACATCCACCAGAAAAGGAGGCTAACTGTTATGAACATAATTTTGGCTACAAAGTAGCAAATGTACCTTATTTCACTACATGTAGCAATTCTATATTAAGGTGGTAGGAATGGCTCCCGGTCGAAAAAAAAAAACTTCGTCATTTTTTTACATCAATCGATAGATTATAGGTTAAAGATGACCAATATTCATAAAAATAGTCAATTTTTTCGAGGAACTACTGTAAGAAGGCACGGATTTCTTGTAACTACAATGGGAAAGTTCAATCGTCGCCTTGAAATCTGAGAAAAAATCTCGCGTAGATTACGAAGGATTTTGAAAGGAAAATCAATAGAAAATCTATACAAATTCGTACGACATGACGTAATAAGATGTAAGAAACAATATAGCGACGGGATATTGCGTTTGAATGAAAACTCAGAGTTATTAAGCGTTTTCTGCCAAAAATGGTACTTTGAATGACATTTTATTCATTATATTGCTTTCTATTAACAATATTGCCATCAAATTTGGCTGCAAGTTGTATTATCTTTCCAGAATTAAACTCCACGCAGCCCGGAGCAAACAACTATTGGTTAAAGATTTGTTCGTGTTTTGCTTGACGTTCCAATTTTTCGCAACAACAACAAGAAAAATTCCGGGCTGCGTGCGTTTGATAGAACATCCAAAGTACTTTTATATTTTCTAGTTTGGAGTAATTCAATCGCCAAGCTAGCGAGATATTAAGNTATTTCTTGACCTGTCTAAAACGCATTGAGCCGTGATAATCCCATACATTCTTACCAATTTTCGTTTGCTTGTATTTCTGTTAAAAAGCATTATTTTGGCTCAAAATTTCGCAATAATACTTTAATTTAGATGTTCTATCGAGGACAATAATGATATTTCGCTAATTTGGTCTCTAAATAGCATTTTTAGAATATCAAGTGATTATGAGCTTGGGCTACCTGTGGACAATTTGTGACTGATAAGCGACCATGAAAAAAAATAATAAGAAAAATAAGAAGCCCGAAATTTATTAAACTCGGGGATTCCTTCGGAACCCCGAGTAACAAGTATGGCGAAGTAATAAGATACCTCAAACAGCTAACTTTTGGCTTATATTAGTTTACGAGTTATAGTATAATCTGTAATAATGGAAAATGCATAGTTGCTGCTTTATAACCCTATACGTTGCATTGTTATTACATAACTACACATCTAAAGTTTAAGTTGAAAGTTGGATAAGCGAAGACAGGCGGGGCGGTTAGCGTGGACATTTTGGCTGGGCTGCACTTCTCAGCGACCGCGATATATATTTTTGATTGAGGGGTGCAACAGAGGCCAAAGGCCGGAGTAATAAGGGTGTATGGTGGTCCTCCCCCAGAAATTTTGAAATAAGAACTCTAAGACATGCGATTTTCAGCATTTTGAGGGGGCATCGAGAGCATATAAAAGGCATCAAATTTATGTGAAATTTTAATCGTTAATATTTCTCTTTTCCACCTCCTGCTACGAAGAAGGGGGTGGAAGAGTTGAATATTTCATTTGGTTTAAAAAAACTCGGTGCTACCGRAATAAGGGGGTYTAGCCTTGTATTAATATAAGTAAGTTAAACAATGGCATATCAAAAATGGCGTAAAACCTCTTAAAAACGAAAAGATTTCCAACCAGGAAGGTAAGAGACGTTTTATTCATGTAACATACATTATACTTTGTTATTGAGTCTGGATTAGCTGTGGTTAAGATGGAAAATATTAGGGGATTCCATTCACTTGAATAAAAATTTTATGTCTATAGCAAAGGACATTTTCTTTCTTCTTGTTAAATTCCATGAAAATATTTTTCAATTCCTAAGTCACTTCCGGTTTATGTCGTAAGTATGTATTCAGGCCTCGTGTTGAAACTTGTCGGCCAGGCATTCAGCAAAACCAGAAACCTATAAGGGACTTGAATTCAAATCCCTTACAGGTTTTTGGCAAAACGGATTGGCCATAAAGTTGCAAAGAGGAAAATTAACTTATAGAAGGTTTATTATAAGCTACATTTGTATTCTTAAATATTACAATTCCTTGTCCTTTGACCCACTGTCCACACCCTTAATTATGCATGGGGCATCTTTCACCTGGAAATGAAAACAAACTGCTACGTGATCATCACAAAAGGGAGCGAGCGAGTCTTTTCACATATRAAAAACTATTCCCCGAGCGTTTTGTGCACGATTGATCCAAGAAACAAATTGTAATAGGAATTCCTTTRTACGATTTTATTGGACAAACAACAAGAAATTAAACTATATGCCCTTGCCACAAGTCTTGGAGGGAAATGATATGCTCCGCGGTTGGACCGTAATAACCAACCCGGAAATGATTGATTGCTTATTTACATTTTTTCTCTTTGATCTGATGAGAGTTGGTACAATCAAATCACTAGCTAATTTTCTTTGACTGAAACAGTGTATGGTATAGTCTCCTGCCGACAATTAAAGGGTAGGGGCTGCGAAGGAGACTACATATGGCACTTACGTTTATATTAAATGTTGGCCTRATGAGACAGCACACAAATCCTGCACCAAATTGACTGCACTGCTCGTCATCATCCAGTTTCAGGAAGTTACTTGGGCATTCAGGTCCAGGAAGACATGAAGCCCAGTCAGTGTTGGCAATCTTTTTGCCACAGGAACCAGATACCCTGTGAACTATGGAGAGTTTAAGTGAAAGGTTATTTTCGCCCCACAAATTGTTTTTTATAAAAATTTACCACGAAATGTCATGATTCTACACCATAATATAAAACATATCTTCGAATATTTAAAGGATCATCGCCATCGCTACGATTTTTCAAATACAGAAAATCGATCATTAGTTGAGATGATTTCAACTCATCCTTTTACATATCCGCTTGTCAGTTTCAGAGGGAATCAAACAGTAATTACAGAATAATGAATGATTCATTTTGATTCATTTTGTTTCAAAATACGGCATACCCTGGTCCCAGAGGTTTTCTTTTCTCTTCTTTTCTAGATGTTTTTTATCGTATTTTTGTCTTTGTTTTTTATATTTAACGTCGACGGTAAATACGGCACTGTGTCGCAGAACAATCCGCCAACAATTGCCACAAACCTGGTATTGCTCGTTTCAAGAATATAGACCGGTGACCATGTTGGTCAAGTGAGCAATAGGTACTAAAGATCAGAAATCCTTTGTTGAAGTTCAATTACCAAGATGGCCTCTGTGATATACATTATAAACGAAGAATATTATTTCTCGTTTTCGAATCCGATTTCACCATAAAAGTCCAGTCAATCTCTGCAATCGACGAACAAAAAGGCCTCCAGTCTAAAGTAATTGCAATATAATTTTTTCCCCTTGGGAACTGATGATTGAAGTATTCTGAACAACATACTAAAAATCCCAAAAAATCCCTTCGGCGATCATGAAGGGGCAAGTAGCACAGGGATCCCAGCACAATTAAATTGTACAAAAACACATATTTTGTTTCTTGTTTAAGCCATTTTAGACAATTCATTGTGTCATTGTTATATTGCGATGAATTGACTATAAAATATAACTGTTTTCTAAAATTTTACAYATTTAATAAGTTTCTTGGTATTAACACAGGGATCCCATACGCTACAAGCAGCGAGAATAGTACGAATGTACAAATGTATTTTTAACGTTCGTTAATGTTTCAATTATCAAAATTAACTAAATTTCGTTTAGCAGTGCATCATTATCTTTATCTTCAAAGTCTGGACTTGCAACATTTAAACAACTCACGACATTTCTCAATGAGAAAATTCCTTTGCGACTGATCCATCGTTGCGTAATTGTTAAGTTTCCTGGAATTGTTGAAGAATCGAAAGTAATGTCAATGCTGATGATGCCAAGAAAGTAAAGTTCTCGACACGATGGTCGATAAGAGATCGAGTAGAAGAGCTTTCTTTTTGTAAAAAAAATGAAGTGACATCATTAGCTTCAAAGATAGCAATTAAGCCACCAGACGGGAAACTGTTATTTCAAAGGCTCAGCATAGTGGCTGATTGCGTAAGGTTTCAAAATACAGAAGAGCTCTTTCAATACGAGATGTCAAATTTTTCTCCTGCATTCTTTGAATCCTCCACTTAAAGAGCACTAAAAACAATCGATAATCGGGCGATTTGCATTATGTTGTTGATGGTATTGGTGGTTCTCTTCTCAACCATTTACCATGGCACCCTGGAAACACCTTTAAAGCAGTCCTAAGTTACTCTGTCCAGTTNCTAACAAGCGAATAGAAGCACCTAACAAGCGAATAGAAGCACCTAACAAGCGAATAGAAGCACCTAACAAGCGAACAGGGGTCCATATTTTTTTCACTTGTATATTTTTCTACAGTTATTTATCGACTTATTCGAACTTTTTAGCTACGCCTTAACTTATTACAAATTTTCTTATCAAACTTTATCTTAGAATTATGAATAAAATCTGGGATATCCACCAAACAAAAAAGGATCTGGGGGAAGAAGTTTGCGAAGCGATTTTCTTATTCATTCACGCAGTGCTCGACTGTGATACAACATCACGAGTACATGGAATTGGAAAAGGATGTGCTCAAAACGAACATTTCCTTCCGCCATCAAGCAAGTGCATTCATAAACTTTAATACCTGGCAAGAAAGCATTGTATGCGCTGGTGAAAAAACCTCTGTTATGTTTGTACAGCGATAGTGTGACCAACGAGAGTCTGGACAATTCAAAAGGTAGCCACTTCATTCGCATGCTTAGAACCACAAAACCTACCACAAACATCTTCTGCAGCAAAATATCATAGCAAGAGGGTGTCTTATCAAGTGCAGTATTGGAAAGGGAACCGTCATCTTGATCCTATCCAATGGAGGTGGAAAATGGTTGACGGAAAGCGTTTGCCTATTGGAACTTATTAGGAGATCATCAGAAGGTGCAACTGCAAAGCAGACTGCAGAAAATTGCGATCCACGTGTAGAAAACATGGGCTAGAATGCTCGGCTTTTGCGGAACATGTAAAGGACAGAGTTGTTTAAATGTTGCAAGTCCACACTTTGAAGATAAAGATAATGATGCACTGCTAAACGAAATAAAGTAATTATTAAAACATTAACGAACGTTAAAAATACATTTGTACATTCGTTGTACTGGAGGTAATATTCTCGCTGCTTTTAGCGTATGGGATCCCTGTGTTAATAGCGAGAACTTATTGAATTTGTCAAATTTTAGAAAAAGATCGATTTTGAAGATGTTCCACCGAAGGGATTTTTTGGGATTTTTAGTGTGTTGTTCAGAATACTTCAATGAATAGTTTCCACATGAAAACAATTCTATTTCAATTACTTTCGACACAATCCTTAGTTTGACTGGACTACATAGCAATTTGCAACAATATTTGTTCTTAATGACTTACCTGAAATCAAAATGACGACAATAGATGCAAAGATTGAAGTCTTCATTGTATTTTTTAGGCAAACTCCTAGTGAGAATTTAGAATTAGTTAGAACTTATAGATAGTGATTACATCAGCGAGCACGATGGTCCAGGGACTACTGTGGATATTGCATTTGTGTTGGTGATAATCTGGGCAGACTGGGCCGGTACTTGCAGAGCTACAACGTACATTTTCATAAAATCTTTGAATAACAATGAAATCAAAGCACTTCAAGCATTGTCCAGGCCGAAGATGTCTACTAATGAACCCCTTATACCACGACAGCGTCCGAGCGAGTAGCTATAGAGAGTTTCGTCTGTTTTTGTTGTAATGTTAACTAATGTTTGTTCTTACATAGGTTAACCTCACAATGTTCTTGCAACTTAAACAACTGAAATAACTATATCAATTTGGGATATAGCTAATGGCTAATAAGGTAATTAAAGATTATGTCCAGTTCTCGGTAGAAACAGATTCATCTCATACCTACCTATTTGTCCAGCTATCACGATTATCAATTTGGATTTGGAGCTGATCAGTGGCTATGCGAAATTCAATATTGACTTGCATCAATTAAATGATCAAACTGCAGGTAGAATACTTAATGAATGTCATCGCAATCAATCACTAATCATCGTCTGTCTCTCTGTTCATTAGACCGCATCTCTCCCAAACCTATCCTTATTCAAAGACTTGAGATGCAGGTACCTGGATGGCCCAACAAAGAGGCTTTTTCCTGTCAAATTAGGGGCACTTTTTGACGGAACAATAGACGCTTTCATTTTCGTTGTTCAGGAAAAATTATTCAGCCCAGTTTCGATCTCGCGGTAATATTCGTTACCGATAAAATTGTTGGTAGCGTGATGTCTGCGTGGTCATTTCTTCCCCCATGACGTTATTGCAGTTGCTTTGTGCACGTAGAACGGCTAGAAAATGTATAACCACCAAAACACAGAACACCCAGGCGAGACGTACTGTTCTGATAGAATACAAAGAACGGTTGGACTGAGTTGTTGAAAACACAAACGTTTAAATGTTTCTAGAACACGATTATGGTATACATAGATTGTTTAGGAGCATATAGAACGATACGACATCTTAACATGGAATATAACGTTTTCACAAGAACGGTTTCTCTATTTTGAATACACAATGTTTGTATTAAAAAACGACAGTTCGATGTAATAGGACTACCTAAGCTTAACTATAATATATGCCTATCAACTCAAATTTAACAAAGACAAGATTTCTCGACCGTATAGAGCTTCAATAATTTTCACTCAAAAACATCTTTGATAACAATTACTGACGGTGAACGCAAGTCTGCTCAAGCCAAGGATACTACYACATGATGTCATTCAGACATGCTACTTTACCAACTACTGATTCTAAACTTATCGGTTGAATAATTTCTTGGCAACATGGCAAGAGATTCGTAACTATGTAAGAATTTTTTATTTTATGGGGAAATGCTTGGGAAAGTCTTGTTCAAGTCGACAGTGGAACAGTAAACTCTATAGCCCAAGATTCAATCAATTGCAAGGTATGGGCGAGTGTTTGAATTTTGAGCTTTATATAAATAGGATCAGATGTGAGCCTAGTAGATACAATTGGTATCCATCATCATTATGTGATTTGCAGGCCGTATACTCATTTGTTTTAAAGGGCGTGGTACACCACGTTTTGCAAAAATTCTGTAAACATCAACATTCATATATACATAATATTTATAAAGATGCATTGTGGGTAATTTCCTCTGTAAAGGTGGCTAAACAACCACTTTAAAAGCGCAAAACATTTTTGTTGATATATTATTCCGATTTCAATTATATTGAATGTTACTAAAAATTATTGTCAATATTAGTGTTGATGCATACTAGTATATGCGTATAAATGAACAGAATTCTTGAAAAACGCTGTTAGCTAAAAGTCGTTACTTGGTCTTCAGTTATCTCATCTGCCCCGTTTACTTATGAGCTAAAATGAAAATTATAAAATCTACTATTCCCCATTTGCCAGCCAGTGGAAAAACTTTACAATTTACTTTACAATGCCATATTTCAGGATAACGAAGCTACGCANGTAACAGCTTGGAAAATGGTTATGCAAGCAAAGGGCTTGGGTTTATCCTGAAAACAATGAAAACATCACTGTCCTCTTCGAGTGGACCGTTTTCAGGCGATGACCTTCCACTGACGCAGATGTGTGCTCACGTTCAAGAACAAGAGAATGAACATACCTTCTCCACAGATAAAATTTGCAAAACCACAAAAGAGTGTTCTGGGAAGGAAAACCCCAATCCTTATGACTCGAGTGGAAACAATGTGCAAGAAGCTTGCGAAGAAGGGACTAATGCTTGCAAGATAAAAACGGCAATACCTATGATGACAGCTCTCCTTTGGTACAAAGTGAGTGATTTCATAGCACTGGGTTTCTGCTATAACTACCTTTCTAGCACTCCATCGTCAAATTTAAAGCCTATTATCCATGCTGGGCGCGACGATGTTAGTAAAATGGCAAGCTTAATCGGCGCATACATGAGTACTTTAAACGATTGGAGTGTTTTTTTTAACCAAGCTGCAAGAGAAAGGGCCTTCTCTAGCCTATCAGCTGCAATGGACCTAGTTAAAACACGTGAAAAATCCTTTAAGTTGGCCTCTTTGGCATGCAGCAAGCTTGAAGCAGACGATATGTGTACTGTTGGAAATATTTTTGGTTATTATGAATCGCTGAAGAAATTGAAGGAAGACAAAAAAACGCCCCCCAAAACAAGAAACTTGAGATATCATTCCAGGGTAGATCACGCAAAAATGATTGAGCTGAAAAGAAATGCTTTACAGCACTTAAGTCTTCTGGGAAATATTCAGCAACTTGACCAAAATMTTGAAGCATTTGTGAAAGGCATGTCAGGTTACATTTTCGGTCTTGCCAAATACGATGAAGGTATTGCAACTCAAGATGAAGCATTCCTTCGTGGTAAACTGGATGAATTTAGGACCAAATCATCAAGGGTGTCAAAGAATGTCCAACGAGACACCCGAAACATAATGATAGCTGCAAATGTTGCTTTAGCAGCACAGGCCGTTGAGAAAATTGCGATTTTAGGAGCAAAAATAGCAAACCACATCAATCCATTTAAAGTGATCTTTACTGGTGTAGAGGTAGCTGACATTTATGAGTTGACAGGTGAAGTAGCCAATGCAAAAGACCAGACTGAACGTGGTGATGCCTTATTTGCAACTTTTCATGAGGTTTACAAAGACATGTATAAACTCGCAGATTCTTTTCAGAATAACAACGACCAGATAGCGGGCTTACAAAAAATGATTAACAGCATAAAAAAGAAAGGTCAGAAAGATGTTGATTTTGACTCTGAAAGATTCATTGAAGCCTATGGTGGCTACACACCTAAAGTGGGTCGAAAAGATTTAGCCCGAAATGATGCTCTGTGGTCTACTTATAAAGATGAAACCTGTGGTCTTTTGTTTGGAGCCGAAGGTTCTGTTGCTGGAGTTACAAAAGCAGTCACTGGAGGAATGTTGCTATGTGAGAAACTCGAAGGCAGTTTAGCAGAATTCTTTGCTCTCCGTGAAAATGTTTTTGATTTCCAGTTTGATCTTGTCGATGCCCTTGCCGGTATTGTTCGTGGTAACATAGCCAAGAAACTGTCCAAATCTATACAAATTAAAAATGATCATCTAAAAGCAAGCACGTTATTGCTTGCGTTATTCATGACGCAATTCAGACTCCAGTTTGAAGCGGCTGTCTACTGTGATAAATGGGAGTACATCAACCAAGGCGAGAGAATCGCCCCATGCAATGATGAAGACTTCATGAATGAAAAAAGACTCGATGATCTCCTAACCTACGATTTTGGCACACTCTATCACGAGGACGAGCGTTTTGTATACTTACCCACAAGGCCTCAGTTTCCTGGAGATACAGGATATATTAACTTGCCATCCTTGACGAAAGGAAAATCTGTTCTTTTCCGCATTCCAGCAAATCGAACATGGTTAAGGCAATTTAATTGGCTTTCAAGTGGCGAAATCCTAGCACCGTTTGTGGCAAGCTTCAAACTTTACCTTCCTCTGAAAACCTACCCCACTGAAGGAAATGGAAATTATGCTAAAACCTCAGTTAAACTAACATCCACTGCCGGTAGCAGAGTAGACGATACTTCTGGAGTAGTTTACAACTTACCCTTGGAGCACAGTACATATATGACAGCATATGAAGAGGGCTATGATCCATCAAGGTGCAAACAAGGAAAAGAAATCGTAAATCCTTACAGTCTTTGCGACAACCTTCCCCTAATATGTGACAGCATGACAAGAGTTCCTGGTTCGTTGATCATGCCAACTATCTTGTCTACGTGGAAAATGACTTTCTCTAAAGAAAKAGGCAATGTCAGTCTTCCTTGGGACGCCCCAAGACCTGCAACTGATTTTCTTTTTATCGCAAAAGTAAAACTACGCTTCCTACCAAACTCTCTAAAGAAGCGACGAGCATTGGACACTAGTGGAGAACCCGCTTATGGATGCTGTCCAGACGGAAACACATATAGACCAATGTGGAACGACAAAACGTGCATTCCCTGTCCAACTAAACCAACCAAATCGACAGGTCAATTGCAAGGTTACTACTGCGAAAAAGGAGACGATCCCAGTGGTCAAGAAATACCCAAGAATTTTTACACTATTCCAACCATACCTCCAACCACAACAGGCAGGCGCAAACGAAGCCATTGAATCTGGTCTCCTCACTGCTAGTTTAGTGTTCAGTCGGAAAAGACTGTTTTATCGAAGGAAAGCTAAGTGAAAGTTTTCAGGGACTAACCGTCAATTTGGTGAAATAAAATTGTATGATTATGACTGGTATTCATTTTACTACAGTAATTACTGAACCGCCACCGACACAACTGTGCTTTGATTTTCTTAACTTGTGAATGAACAAAAGCCTCAACGAAACGGCACTCAAAATGACAATGATGAATTTATCTGTAGCTGATCAATATAGAATACAAACAAAAACATGCATAGAGAGAACTGAATGCCACTAGTAAAACCACGTTACTCTTGCGTTGTTTGAGAAATACTTTCCACAAATCACAAGATGAAGCCATTTACTACTGAATATCGAATAGTTGGTGGTTGAGATTTGTCAAACACAAATTATCTATCACTGAACTGTTCCTGTGGTGTCTTCGATGGTTGATTCATTAGTGATTCAAAACGTCAATCTTACATTGCATAAATCCAACCCCCCCCCCCCCTCAAAATCGAATGGATCGCCCCTTACACAGTTATGTGATTGCACACGAAAACACTACAGTTCCCAAAGCAATTTAACGAGTTTAGTCGCATCGTTCAAACAAGGGCGCCAGAACTGACATTATGACCTATAAGATCGACAAATTGCTTAATTTATCCAACTTAAGATAGTCGATGATAAATAAAGTTTTACTTATCTGAAATACATACTGAATATGTCGTCTTAGTCCGACTAAAATGCACTTGATTTTACGAAATTCATCTAAATGATTGTTACTCAAACTCTCAAACGGTTGTTGCTGAATTTAACACCCCTGTCCTTGCAGCCACTAGTGTCTCGCCAAGAACATTATTCATTAACGAGATCAAAATAACTTTGCCCTGGCTGATGAAGTCGGAGACTAAGACGACATATTCAGCATATATTTCAGATAAGTAAAACTTTATTTATTATCAACTATCTTAAGTTGGATATATTAAGCAACTGTCGTGTCGATCTTATAGCAGTTATAGAACATATTCTGGCACCCTTTAATAGGCTAACTTAATCGGGCAATAAATACAGACCAGATATTTCTTTTTCAATTAAGTTGCTTTAATATAGTTATTTTGCGTTTTTCACATGCAAGACCACTGTCTGCATAATGATCATACTATACTTATTTTGAGTGGCAATGTGCTAAACATGCAATACATGCTCTAAGCATGCCATTACCATTGTTCAGTTTTCGTATTTAAGGTACTTTAGTTGATCAGTTCTTTTTCTCGCTTGTCCTTTGTAAGATTGATTTTGAGCTGTATGGTTGGTCATTCTTGTCCCTTTTCGCAATAGTAGCCTCCAAGATTCATTATGGAATCTTTACCGATAGCTGGTTTAAGCGGACAAGGAATGCATTTATTTTCATACCAATTTTGACGATAATCATTTCCGGTACAACAGCCAGGTTTTGCGGGCGTGTCCATGGAAGGCAATTTGCTGCGTTTGCTATTCTGAAATGAAGGAAAACGTAGCTTCACCTTGGCAATCACCAACAAGTTAGTAGCAGGATCTGGGGCATCCCAAGACAATGTTTGAGTTGTGCTCGTCTCCATGAGGTAATCCAGTTTCCAGGTGGATAAGATAGTTGGCATTAGACTTGTGCCAACTACCCTTGTTGTTGTATCACATATGTTGGGGAGATTATCGCACAAGCTGTAAGGGTTGGCAATGTTCCCTCCACTAGGACAACGTGATGGGTTAAAGCCTTCGCTGTAAGCGGTTAAGTACTGACTATGTTCAAGAGGTAGATTGTACGATACGTCGCCGTTCCCTACTGCGCTACTGGCAAAAGAGGTCAAACGAACGCGTGTTTTCGAGTACGTCGTCGGACTGCCAGACGCGTCGTACGTCTTGCGTGGAAGGTACAGTTTAAAACTCTGGACAAAAGGGGCAACGTTTTCATCGTTCTTAGAGAGCCAATTAAACCTACGCAGCCAGGTTTGGTTTGCTGTTAGACGGAAAGTGACAGTTTCCCCATTCTTCAATGTCTGCCAATTTATGAATCCCGTATCGCCATTAAACTGTGCTCTTGTTGGTATATACACAAATCTTTCGTCAAGATGATAAGTTGTATCCGGTTTATAGGCAATCAGATCGTCTAAGTTCCTCCTTGAGAATAGTCCAATCCTTGGGGAACATATGGGGACCTTTTCTCCTTGATTTAGGTATTCTAATTTGTCGCAATAAAGTGATGCAGACGATTGAAGTCGATTTTGTGTCATGAAGTAGCCAAGCAGGAGCTGGCTGGTCTCTAAAGGCGCGTTAGCTGTTTTTATTGACTCTGCCAACTTCTTGGCTATATTTCCACGCACAACGCGAGCAATAGAATCAACCAGATCAAATTGAAAATCAAATATGTTTTCGCGAAGTGTAAAATATTCAGCAAGAGTACCTTCTAGCCTTTCGCACATTAGCATTCCTGAAATGGGCGTTCGAGCAGCAGCTGCCACAAGACCATCAGCATTGTAAAGTACCTCACATGCCGTCTCCTTGAATGCACCCCATAACGCGTCGTTCCCTGCTAGATCAGAACTATCAACACGTGGCGTGTAACCACCATACGCTTCCACAAACTTGGCGGCGTCAGCTCCAATTTCATCCATTGTATTATTTTTAATAGAATTTACCATTTTCTGTAGATTTTCAATTTGGTCTAAATTGTTCTTAAGTTTCTTGGTAAGATCATAGCTGTTGTTAAAAGAATCACTTAGTGTATTGAACATACGACTAACAATTGCAACATCTGCCGTTGCATGAGCTATTTCTCCTGCTTGCTCCAGCATTTCTCCTATGTCCACTCCGCCAAAGATGGCCTTTGCTGGGTTTGCATATTCTGCTATTTGACTAACAAGTGTATCGATCTCATCAACCAGCTGAAGAGAAGCAATGGTCGTTGCAGCGATAAATACACCTTTTATGCCCTTCTTAAACTTCTCCATCATTTTGCTAGATTCGGTATCAAAGTTATCCAATTTATCTTTCAAGAATATGACATCCTGATCAGCAATGCCTTGATCGTACTCTGCGAGTTTAGCAAGGTAGTTTTTAATCCCATTGGTGGCTTCACCAAGATTTTCGTCAACTGATCTGATGTTTCCAAGTATTTGAAAATAATCTAATGAGCCTTGCTTTAGCTCCACCATTTTTCCATGATCTGTTCTTTGAAAAAGTCTCAGGTTTCTAGTCTTTCCAGGATTGAGGCGGTAATTCTGTGTTTTTCTTATTGACTGATATTCGATGTTGATGTTACCATAGATACAAACATCATCAGCCTTTAACTCATAGCAGGCGGCTGGAGACGAGGAAAAAGACTTTTCGTACTCCTTTATAAGACCAAGGCCCACCTCTAGGTTTGAAAAAGCTCTTCTTTGTATTGCTTCTTGAAAAAACAGCTCCCAATTTAGAGTACTTGCATACGCCATAACCAATCTAGCCATCTCTTTTATTCCGTTGAGCTCAGCTGTTAGTGTGTTCTGGTTATAAACTTCAGTGTTCTGGGGATGTTCCTTTTTTAAATAATTCTGGCAAAGACTTCGTGCCATGAACTTGTTTGTCTTGTACCACAGAAGACCTCCCATCATAGAAATTGCTTTCGCCACATCACATTTGTTATCTTCTTGACATGCKTCATGAACGTTTGTCATCACCTTGCGGATATTCTTATCATAAGGGTGCGTTTTCTCTGGACCTGAGTTTCCTCCCGCGCTACATTGCTTCACATTATGGCAAATCTTGTCGGTAGAGAATGAAAGTGATTGGGGTCGTAAAAGCTTGCGTTCYACTTGAAAACACATGTACTTTATTGGGAAATCAAATCCCTGTAAGCTTTCAGGAGGCGACCATAACGCTTGAAGGCAGCGAAAGTTGTGATGACCTTGAAACGCTTTCAGCATTTTTGCCATCTCTTTTTTATAATCCTTTACTAAGTAATCGCTTCGGAACAGCCTTTGGCCAATGGAATATGTGCTGTAGTGTATCAATTTCCCCATTAAAGTGATGTCTCCCTCTATCTTAGACGTATCAAGACTGTTCAGGCCATCAATTTTGGTGACAAGCTGATCTAAGCTCCTCATTACCCTACGCATCTTATTAACTGTGACTTTTCTCTCAAGGTTCTTCAAAGAAGACACGACTGAGTCTCTGGCATGAAGTGCATCGTAAAGAGCCGGCGCCCACGGACGATTACTGGATGGACTGGATTCTGGTGCCTTTGGTGTTACAGGTGCCAAGCAAACGCAAAGTAGTGCAAAGCACAGGAGAGCTAAGTGCACGGGCGTCATTGAATGGCAGACTGACACCTTCAACTCTCTGCAAAATAAATCGTTATAAATTTTAACCTTCCTGGAAATTTGATACACTTTGAATACATGGATAACAACATGAACACGCTGCGATTTCGTATATGGTAYGTCATGACCGGCGCTTTTCTGTGATAGCCAAATTTTCTGTGGAACTCTTTTCGTCGAGTTGGATAAGTGTACCATTATATAAACAATTCAAATAAAAAAGCAAAAAAGAAATGAAACAAAATGAAATTTACCTGAATTTGTTTTATGATATCCTCACAAAGTCGAAATGCAGTAGTTCCGCTCAATAAACTTTTAGCGTTCAAATTTCAGATGCATTTACGTAAAATAATTTGATCATTATACAGGCTTCATTGGTGTATCAAGTATTGTATAAACACCACATTTTTGTTTCTTAACGAATGAACATAATGTATAATATATATCTTATTCCCTTCACTGGTGCATGAATTATAATGATCGCTGTATAGCGCTCCAACGACCAAATGTCGTACCAGAAAACGATGGTTATTTCATAAATCAATGGCTGACTGATTTTCGAAAGTCCCTGTCATSTTACTTGTCTTAGACCAAATGTCTGCACCATTACATAAACAGGTGAAAGTAGAAAAACACTTTGTAAATATTAATTTGCATTTTAATCGCGAAACAAAGCTGGAAAGCTATAGCGTTGGTTATCTTCAAGGTAAGAACTAATAGTGCTCATCCTGCTTTTTGCAGATAATTTCTACTAGTTCAATTTTCTACTTCGATCTGGAAATAAAATTGTGCCGGATAAAGCAACGTAATTAGAGGCTTCTATACATCTACATCTATCTTTATTATCCTTAAAACCATGGATGGCACAAGGATATTAAATAAATAAACTGATTATCAACTGAYTGTATTTTTTGGATGGTATTGATCCCTGTCCAGGCAAGGAAACCGTCAAACACTAATACAAATTGTTGTTGTTAATTGCAATGGCGGAGCCAGGGGGATCGGTGGTGTCATTATGAAGGTTTGATTTTAGATAAGACTAAATTCTTCGCCACTTTCATCGTTAACAGTGAAATTCCAGAATTAATTATGCAACATTTAAATTTATCAACCAAATTGGACTTTATAAGTAATTACGAACGAATTTTCATTGTTAATTGTTTTTGTGTCTCTTGGGGAAAACAAAAAAAGAGCATTTTATCACACAGTACGTGGTATATCTGATGTAAAGAAATCATAGGTGTTCTTTCCATTTAACAATAGAACAAATGATTATCACACTTACAAGCGATAAGAGTGCATCCATACTGATCTGATTTACGATTCTCACAACATGCATAGCGAAAAACACATTCATTGCGAAACATGTGTTTCAAGTTTTTGTTGCGGTTCTTCAATAAAACATTTC